CTGATGGTTGTTTCCCCATGATCCTCAGGCCTCGCCTGCCTCTGGTTACCTTAGCTGTGCCATCACTACCTTCCCTGGAGACTGGAGGCCAGTCTCGAGGTCAGGAGGGGACATGGCACCAACCACAGCAGGCGTCAGTGAGCCCAGATGTGGATGGAGGCTGCACAGAGGCCTCCTCGGCGCCACCAGCCAAGGGGACATGGCACATTTCACACACACACGCACACACTCTGCCCCAATTAGGACACTGCACGTTTTAAAACTCTTAGTACATTTGTATGTCCTGGATGGTACACACAACTTAGCTAATGTAAAGATTACAGGTTCAAGTCCACCCAGAGATGTGTCTGGAGAAATACCCATTTTTGAAGAGCCAGCGTTGTGAACCTTAGAGCACAGATCTGCTCCAACTCTCGAGTCACCACGAGGTGGAATCAATTCCCAAGCTCCTAGTTTGGGTTTTGGATACATTTTACTCAACTGGGTGTAAAAAACAACAAAAAAAAACCCCCACACCCCACCCCCACTGCCATCCGGTCTCATGACAAGTGTCCATTGCAGCCTCCTCTTTCTCCCAAGGGGCGGCTGGTGGGTTTGAACTGCAGACCTCTCAGTGAGCAGCCCAACCCTTAACCTACTTCACCACCAGTGCTCCTTCGCCTGCCCCCAGCGGCGTCACAACACATCCCTCCGTTGGGCAGCGGGCTGGGAGCACTTAGCCGAGCACTTGATGGGATTGTCTCACTTAATCCCTAAGGAAGTAGATCCTGATTTCATCCCACACTTGACGCTGAAGTGAGAAGCTGAGAGGGTGGCGGGGCAGTGACCTGTGTGAGGTCACACCCTTGGGGCTGGAGCCTTGCTGCCCCCACAGGCCTCTAAGAAGCAGGGCTGAGGGACACGAGGGGCCCACATCTAGGACAGGCAGTTCCTTGGGGTGTCCGCAGACCCCTGAGGCGGTGAGCAGGGAGAAGGCTTGCCCTGTGAGAGGGTCTCAGGCTGGGGCACTGTGCCCTCCCCGGCCTGGAGGTCCTCGGTTTCGAGAGGCTATTTTTAGGGCCTGGGGCAACAGACTGTGACAGCAAGAATCCATCTCAAGCCTTGGATGGGCCCACGTTTCCTCTGGGGAGGGCGAGCTTGCCTGGCCAGACGCCAGCTGTCCTTTCCAAAGGAGGCACCTCAGGCACCCTGAGGGGTGAGGATGGGGCCTGGACAGGGCCAGACGTGGGTGGGTAGTTGTCAGCTCAGCTTGGTGGTCTCAGCTCCTTTGCATCCCCAACAAGCATGCCCTTCCAGAAGCCTCTGCGGCTTGACCTCATGACCAGGGCTGAGAGCTGGGACTGGGCCTGGGAGGTGCTGTCTGGCCAGTGCTTCTGACGTGGAATGTTCTGGAGTAGAGGCCCTGTATCAGTTGCCAGCTCCCTTTACCCGACCTCCTTGTACTCCAGGTCATCTGGCCCGAGTATGGGTTCCTCCTGCACCCGCCCCACCCCGGCTCCTTCATACCTCCAGGAGATCCTTATTGCAGAGCCACAGTTAGGGACACACACACCCCTAAAACTTCACAATGGCTGTTATTCCTCCATCAGGAGAAATGAGGTTTTGATGGACAGGGCAGCGTGGGTGAACTTTGAGAAGATAATGAGATAAATCAGACACAGAAGATGGACAGTATCCTGAAAACCTGCTGAAGAGTCAGCTAGGGGCCGCTTCGGGTCCACAACACCCAGCAGCCACCGGCCCCCTGTGCCCACCCGTCTGCACCTCACTCACCTCCCCTGATGTGCACAGGCCAGGCAGGTGCACGGTGCAGATAGGTGTTCACAAGGGGGGGGGATGCTGCTGGCTCATAGCTGAGCCTTCGCAAGTTGTCAGAGGCAGTAAACCGCACAGGAGGACACTGCCCATCTTTCTCCTGGGGAGCAGCTGGTGGATTTGAACCACGTGCCTTTGGGTTGACAGCTCGACTCCTTACCAGTAAGCTACTTGGTCACAAGAGATGTTAGGTGCCATCAAGTCAGGGACCACTCCTAGGGCCCCGTGAACAACATCCTGAACCCTGCCCTTTCCTGTGCCGTCATCACCGTCTCTGACACGCTTGAGCCCGTGGCTGCAGTCCCCATGACAGTCCGTCTTGTTGAAGGTCTTCCTCTGACCCTCCACCTTCCCAAGCGTGACCTCCCTTTCTAAGGAATAACCTCTGTCAGCAGCGTGTCCAAAGCATGAGGGACGGTGCTTCAGCACCTTGTCTCCAAGGAGAGCCAGACAGGCATTATGACGTAGGGATGAAGAGTTCTGATTTCCCGAACCAAGGAAAACGCACTGCTGTCAGCAAATCCCAGCTGCCCCATAGCAAGCTTCCAAGGCTGTAGATCTTAGCTGGCTAGTGGATTCGAACTGCCGACCTTTCCATCAGCAGCCCAACACATAGCACACGTTTGTGTTTGGTTGAAAGAATTGGGTAACGATGGTGATTGCACTTTGTGACTATGATTTGGAATTACTGGGTTGTACACTTAAAAGTGGCCTTTCTAATCACTCGCTGTGCATCTGAGAGCTGAAAATGAACAGGGATGACAGGAGAATTCATGCCTTTGAGCTGTGGCGTTGGTGCAAAGCACTGAACATCCCCTGGATTGCCAAACGAGCAAACATGTTTTGGAGAGGGTGCAGCGGGAGTGCTCTTCGGAGACAAGAGTGATGAGACTTTGCCTCACATACTTCGAGCATGTTGCTAATAGGGGCTGCTCCTTGGAGAGGGACGTGATGCTCGGAGAGGTAGAGGGTCAGTGAAGGAGAGGAAGACCCTCGACCAGGTGGATTGACACGATAATGGCCGTAATGGGCTCTAATGCGTCAGGAAGTGTGAGGGTGGCGTGTCGTTATGGGCACCTAGCAACACTTAAAAGACGTTAAAATGACTACAGTTTTGTTCGATATTTTTTGCCACGATATCAAACTATCCAAAATAAAAAAATTAAATGTTTTAAGTTGCACCCTCTGGTTGACACTGGCTGCCTTTCAAGTGCTCAGTAGATGCCTTCATGGGCAAGAAAGGGGTGTTCCTATCATCAGAGAAAGTGCTGGACGTCTTGGTGCCGAGCTCTTGGCCTGAGTGGGTGATGCTTTTATAGGACAGGGAGCCAGGAAGCCCCTGGGCAGTTAGGAATGGACAGGGCAGAGGGCCAGTCGCCAGGCTGGCCTGGTCCTGGTGTTTTTACCAGGACCTCTATGAGGCTTTCCCCAGGAAGACTTTGGGGTGTCTTCTGCCCCACCTTGAATGTATGGAAACCGCCTGTGGAGGGGCTTGCCGCCTGGGTTGTCTGGCACTCACCCCTCACCCCAGGGAGGTCAGGGAGTGCTGTCTGGGGCTGGCCATCCGACAAGGACTGGACCATCAAGACACCTTGGTTCTGGGCTTTGCTCTGCTCACACATCAGAAAGGGGGTTACAGCTCACCCCCAGAAAACCCCCTCCACTGCAGGGTACCGAAACCAAACCAGGCGCTGTTGCGTCCTCCCCACTTTGGGGCAGCCCCACGGGTCTCCAGGAGACCTGGGCTCCATGGGGTTTTCAGGCTGGTGTCTCAGGAGTAGGTTGCCAGGCCTCTTGAATGTATTAGAACCACCAACCTTTTGTTTAGCACCCAAGCCTTTAGCAGTGTGCACCACTCTGGGTTCAAGTACCCTGGGCCCCAGGAACCTCAGCACCAAGGGGAACCTCCCCACCAAGGTGGCTGGCCGTCAACAGTCTAGGGTGTTGCCTCCTCGGGGGGTGAGCCTGGGATGCCTCTCACCTGACATCCTGATGGCAGAGTAGACATTACAGAGCACCACCCTAAAAGTCTTCCTTCCATTCCATCTCCTTCCCAAACCCTCCCCCATCTCTACCCACCCACAGTCCAGGGCTGGCCCTTCTTGGCCAGCAGGACCAATGGGCTCACTGATCTGTGGTTGCCATGACAACCAGAGCTGGGCAGGTAGGAGCCCAGGTGGTCCTCAGTCTCCCCCATGGAAGTCATCTTGCCTGAGGCCATCATAGTCCAGCTGGTCTTCCCTGGGGTGTCCATGCCTGCAGCACAGCCCCCCCCCCGACCACCCCTCTGCCCTATTCTTAGTGTCCCCCCCCAACTCCTGGGGGACTTGGCACTTCCTGTTTGACTGAGTATGGCCTTCCAATCAGGCCTGGGTTTGAGCCCTTCCTCTGTCAGGCCCTGGGCTCATTAATCAGGGCCCTTTGAGAGCTTCTGGTCTCCAGGTGGACAATGGGGACAATTGCCTCCCACTCTGCCAGGCCCTTGTCGGCTGTGTCAGCCATTCCTGCTGGCGTGTGCTGGGGTGTGTGTGTGTGTGTGTGTATACACTTGGACACATGTGAGCCTATACCTCCTGTGTGCCCGCTCTGAAGGGCATGGTAGAAGGTGGCTTTAGTGTCTGCTTGAAGTAGCCAAGGAGACACAGGGTCTCTGAACCTCAGTGCCAACCCCAGGACTTGTGACATGTGGGACCTGGTGACAGTCAGCCCCCTGAGATTGTGGCCCCTCGGCCCTCTGGAAAGGCCACCCCACAGATCTGATTGAAGCAGGCAGGAAGCCCCCCAATCCTTCCCCACCTCCCAGCCCCTGAGAGGGTCCCGGGGTCAGTGCCACGGGGAAGGACAGCAGCACCCGACATGCACGGGGTTGTGGGAACCAAGCTAAGAATGCAAATCACCGCCACCCACCTCCTCAGTGCTGAGACCCGACCTTTACCCCCTTTCACAGCTGGGGAAGCCGAGGCTCCAAGCCCTCCACTTCCTGCCCATCCTGTTCCCGCTCAGCTGAACCTGGAACCCGCACCTTGCCCGGGGTGACCCCAGGTTAACAAGTACAAGCCCGTCCTCTCACCGTGAGGGACAGGGACTGGGCGGGGTCACACGGCCCCCCTGTGCCTGGGTCCCCGCCTCCAGCAGGTCCCCTCCCTGCACCCAGCAGTCACGGGCCGCCTTCTCTGTCCCCTCAGAGCTCCCCTCCTCGGAGCACCTGAGCGTGGCGGACGCCACCTGGCTGGCCCTCAACGTGGTGTCTGGGGGCGGCAGCTTCTCCAGCTCGCAGCCCATTGGGGTGACCAAGATCGCCAAGTCCGTCATCGCCCCACTGGCCGACCAGAACATCTCCGTGTTCATGTTGTCCACCTACCAGACGGATTTCATCCTGGTGAGCCCCGCTCCCGCCACCGAGGCCTCACGGGGACAAGGGACAGGGGACAGGACGCCATGGGGTGGGTGCCACGGGACAGGCACCAGGGGACGGGCACTGTGTGGCACCTCGGCACACACCCTTGGCCCCTCACACAACACCATACGCCATCCCTCACGCACACACCCCCATACACACGTTAGTCATCCTCACACATTCCCCTTGCACACGCCTTGTGTACATGCATTTGCTCACACGCTACCCACCACAGACCTCACACACACGTGCACGCCTTTCCCACACAGCCGCCCCGGTGGAGACCCCCCCAGCCCTCACAGACACACTCACACCACTCACACCTCTTGCACACAGACCTCTCACAGTCTACCCACATGTCCTCATACGCATACTGCTGGTCGACAATCATCACACTCCCACCGCTCACCCTCACCCCTCACGCACACACTGGCACGTCCACCTCGCACCCTCACACGCACACTCCCCCATCACACGCACCCACACGCCCTTGCACGCGCACGGAGCTCTCGTGGGGAGTGCCTGTCTCCCGGTGCGCCCAGCACACACTCCACGGGCTCTGACAGCAACCCTCACAGTCCGGAGGGGCTGGCGGGTGATGAGTTGGGGTGACAGTGGCCCGGGCTGGCCTCCCCGCTCTGCTGAGCTCGCTGCACGCCCCCAAGCTCTGCTGGCACTCACGGCAGTGCGGTGATGTGGTGACTCGACAGGACCCCAGCCTCCTTGTCAGCACATGTGGGGTTTGGAGGGACAGCGACCGGCCTGGGCCCCACACTCATTGAGGCGCAGATTGCCACCCCAGCCTCCCGCCTCCACCGCCAGGAAGACAGAGATCGTGGACGGTGACGTCGTTCTGGGGCCCGCATCTCTGAGTGACAGGCTCGGTGCCTCGAGGCCCACCCCTCTGGGGGCCCGGGGACCTCATGCCCTGACTGTCTGCAGGTGCGTGAACGGGACCTGCCGTTCGTGACCCACACCTTGTCGTCTGAGTTCACCATCCTGCGGGTCGTCAATGGGGAGCCGGTGGCAGCCGACGACCTCGGCATCACCAACGGCTTCGTGAAGCCCAAGCTGGGTGAGAGGGGCGGCTGGGTGGCAGGGGCCTTGGAGGAACTGGCCCTGCCCAGAGGGGACAGCTGTGCCCTCCCAGTGCTGGGCACCGAGGAGCATGGGGTCTCTGTGTGGGAGGACGCTGCACACAAGCCCAGTGAGCCAGTGTCCAGGCCTCGCCCGCCTGTGTCCCGGCTTTGCCACCCTGTGTCCCGGCCTCGCCCCCTGGCCCATGCCACCCCTCTCCCTGCATCAGTGCCTGTGTTTGCACCCTTCCAGTCCAGAGGCCAGTCATCCACCCGCTGTCCAGCCCGAGCAACAGATTCTGTGTCACCAGCCTGGACCCTGATACGCTCCCTGCAGTCGCCACACTCCTCATGGATGTCATGTTCTACTCCAACGGGTAGGGACAGCCGGAGAGGGGCTCCCGGGCCTGCACAGCGCGCCCAGGAATGTTGCTGGTCTGAGGGAGGGGACGCTGCCCAGCTGGGGAGCTGATCTGGGGGGGGGGTATTGCCCCACTGTGGGAGCTGATCTGGGGGGGGTGTTGCCCTACTGTGGGAGCTGATCTGAGGGGGGCGCTGCCTCACTTGGGGAGCCCTGTGCTGGAAGCTGCTCTTGGGAGGAGACACAGCCCTGGGAACCCCAGGGAGTGATAAAACTCCAGATCCCCTCAGCTGGAATAATCTCCATGGTCCCCTGAGCTCTAGCTTGAGCCCAGTCAGCTGAGGGGTGAGAACTCGGCTTTCCCTCAGTTACAGGCAGCGGCTTTTGTCTTTCGGGGGTCGAGGGGTGTTAGGGTTAAACCTGTACCGAGGGGGACAGATTCTGAGTCTGCTGAGCTGGCAGTGACCACAGACAGCGACTCTGAGATGCAGACCAGACCGAGGGGCAGACACACCCTTCCCCAGGACGGGGCCATGCCCCCTGCTCAGAGCTGGTCATCCTGGGGGTCACCCAGCAAGGCAGGGTCAGGACGGAGACTTGGCCTGTTTCTCCAGCTGGCCCTCTTCCCAGCAACCCCATGGGGATAGGCCCGACAGGCCGCTCTCTGAGGTGTTAGGCTGTGTCCACCACAAATCCCTTGTCCAGTCCTTGGACTGGTGTGTGTCTCGCACCCCCATTCGTAGCCCGGGGCAGGACTGTGGGTACGTGGGAATGAAGGACCAGTGAGGGAGCTGAAAGGACTGTTTGTCCTCAGAGCAGGGTAGGGGTTAGGGTGCACTGGGGGCCTGGTCCCCCTCACCGGCTGCTCTGGTCCCCAGAGTGAAGGACCCCATGGCCTCTGCCGGCGATGACTGTGGTCACATCCGCTTCTTCTCCTTCTCCCTCATTGAGGGCTACATCTCCCTGGTGATGGACGTGCAGACCCAGCAGAGGTGAGAGGCGGGGGGGGCATCCCACTCCTCACACATCCTCATCTACCAGGTGACCAAGCAGGGATTTGAACCATGACCCCAGGGGCTAGGAAAGGGCATTGAAAACCTAAGTGCTTGTCCCACACCCCAGCCCCCAGCCCAGGTGGGCTGAGGGGAGTTGGGGTTCAGAACCCTGAGGACAGGGTGGTGGGCGGTCAACTGGGGAGGCACAGTTGGCGTGACCCCCAGGGCTTCCCCCATCCTCTGCAGGTTTCCCAGTAACCTGCTGTTCACGAGCGCATCTGGAGAGCTCTGGAAGATGGTGCGGATCGGAGGCCAGCCCCTGGGATTCGGTGAGCCGCGGGGTGCAGCCTGGTCTCCCCAGGTCAGGCCGCTGAGCACAGCACCTCTCTGAGGCAGCTCAGGTTTTCCAGATGGGGAACCGAGGCTTAGTGAGTCCGCGTTCTGTCAGTCAGTGTCTGCGGAGGTGCCCAGGCCTCAGAACACGGGACAAGCTGGCATTGGCCAAAGGGCGATTCTGCTGTTAAATCAGTGGAGACGGAGGTCATAGCTGCTATGGGCTCAGTGCCAACTCCTGGTGACCGCTGTACAACTGTCCTGTCCCCACGGCCCCTGATCCTGGGCATTTCCTTGCCTAATTTTCAGAAGTAGTTCCCCAGGCCTTTCTTAGGAGGCACTGTGCTCTGTTCAGATTCAAACCTCCGGCCTTTAAATTAGCAGCTAGATGCATTAGCCATGTGTGCTACCCAGGGTCTGAGTCCCAGACTGTGTCTCCTGGGCTCCTCTACAACTGAGACCAAAAAACTAGGACCACCTTGAGCGACGGGGACACAAGCCAGCTCTCTGAGGTATTCGGCCATGTCCAGAGGTACGTGGTTCACATCCACCAGATGCTCTGCTGGAGAAGGAGAGGCAATCTCCTTTACCAGTCAGATCTGATTTGACGGTACACACACAAAAAATAATAAAATTTTAAAAAAAAAAAAAAAAACCAAACCAAGATAGCACCATCATATGACCCCGCAGTTCCTCTCCTCGTATACTCAGACTTAAAAGCAGGGACCTCAATGATCATTTTACACCAGCATTCAACACCGCACGAATTCACAACAGCCACAGGTGGAAACAAGCGAAATGCCCATCAGCAGGTGAATGGATAAACAATGAGGTGCATCTACTACTCGCCTGGTCGGAGAAATGAAGTCCCAGAACCTGCTATAGGACTTACAGATGGAACCTTAAGGCCTCATACAACATCAACCACAACAGGGCAAAGATTGTATGACCTCCTACAGTAAGGTGGAAAGGCAGATGTAGAGACCAGAGGTGGTTTGTGGTTATGGGGTGGAGGGAGCACAGAGAAAGCTCACGGCCACTTTATTAGCTGCACCAGGACGTGGCTCGGGGCAGGAGACACCACACACGCCACAGGGAGGTCACATTGTCGTCGTTGAGTGCCGCCCAGCCCTGCTTCATCTCCGCAGTCACTGGGCGTTTGAATCCCTGGTTCTGGCTGTCGGGTTCTGTCCATCTCACTGAGGGAGGGTGGCCTTCGTGTTTGCTGACCTGCTTTACAGAAGACTTTTCTAGCAATTATTTTCCCCCTGGTGGTCCAGAGTAGTCCAATCCAAGTCTGGCCCTCCTGGCCTGTCTCAGATACGGCCTTTAAGAGAAGAGGGTTAGGGAGCTCTGGTGGCCTAGTGGCAAGAAATTGCACTGTAATGCCAAAGGTGCGCGGTTTGAATCCACCAGATGCTTCACTGGAGGAGGGGCAATCTTCTGTGCCAGTCGGATCTGACTCGACAGTACGGGAAAAAGAGAGAGAGAGGTGAGGGCTGTTGTCTGGCCGGACTCTGCTGGTTATACAATGAAGTGCTTGGCTACCAATTTGAAAGGTTAGAGTTAACTCCACGTGTCACAGAAGAAAGGCCTGGTGATTTTGTTTGCAAAATATCAGTCATTGTAAGTCCCACAGAGCACAGTTCTGCTCCAACCCATGGGTTGATTTGGTGGCATCTGCCTTGATTTTTTTTTTTTTTTTTACTAACTGGTAGGGAATGTGATGGAGACACTGGTAGCTTGTCGACGAACATCTGACTCGGAATGAGCAGAGCAGACTTGGTGGTGGCAGCAAAGCATATTGAACACACCACAGACGCCCAGAGCATGAACGGGTGTGTCCAGGAGGACGTCCAGCCAGAGTAGTGCCCCTTAGAAGCCAGGGCGGAGGGACTTCACATGCTCTGGGCGTGCTGACAGGAGGGCCTGCTCTCTGCCAAGACTTCATGCTTGGAGAAGTGGAGGGAGGGTCAGCAAAGCCCCTCAGAGAGATGGTTTGACGGAGGAGCTGCACCAGCGGCTGCCCCAGAGGCTCGGACGCCGCAGGGAGTGTGGGTTTCCATCGCGGTGGCACTTCCCAAGAGCGCAGCACTGGTGACAGAGCGTGCTCTGCAGAGCCCCGGCGAGGGCGGGCACCGCTGGCAGAGAAGGCTCTGGGGTCATGTGTGACCCAGGCCCGAGAGAGGCACCTGCAGGGAGATGTGGGGTCCTCTGGAAAAATGGCAGCGGGGTGGCTGGTGGGGCTGCAAGGGGACGAGGCCCCCAGAGGCTAAAGCCTCACCACGTCTCTCCGCAGACGAGTGCGGCATCGTGGCCCAGATCTCGGAGCCCTTGGCTGCCGCAGACATTCCCGCCTACTACATTAGCACGTTCAAGTTCGACCACGCACTGGTGAGTGTGTCCACCCGGGACGGGGCCTGGCTGGGCAGCAGGCCTCGGCTCACCACGTCCACCCCTGCTCCCATAGGTTCCAGAAGAAAACATCAATGGTGTCGTCAGTGCCCTGAAAGTCAGTCAAGCCGAGAAGCATTAGGGCTGGGCGTCCCCCCAGCCCCAGGCCCCAACCCCACCCTGAAGATTGTTCTTGCAGTATTTCTCCACAGACTGGAAATCGCACCCGAGACCCTGGCGTAGGCCTTTTGGGGAACTCCTGACTGCTGACCCCTCCAGGCCTGGGGCCCACGCCAAGACCTCCACCGTCCTCCCTAGAACCCACAGGAAGTGACTGCCTTCCCCCAAACCCACCCCGAAGATGGGTCCCTGTGAGCGGTTGCCGCCCCCTCACCCACGGCAGCAGGCAGATGCGGAAGGGAACCTGCCCCTCCTGCCCGATGCCCACTCCGGCCCGTGGGCCGTCCTGGGGCCTGGAAGTGGAGGTCCGAGTGTGAGGCACCCAGGAGGGGCCCCTCTTCCGGAGCGGGACTCAGCTCGCTGGTCGCCGGTCTGTCAGCTCAGGGCAGGTTCCCGAGTGGAGGTCAGAGGGCCCCCATTGGGTCAGTGGCCGCAGAGACGTGGACAGGAGCAGGGGTGGGGCCGCCCAACACCTGGCCCACCAACCATGGGCCTGCACCCACCTCCCAGACAGACGGCCAGGCGTGGTTCTGTCGGGCTGCACTCCTCACAGCACTCACTCCAGGGCGAGGGTCCCTGTGGCTGGAGCCTGGGCTCCTGGCCCTTCCTTGGCAGGCAGAGCCTCAGTTTCCCCACATGGGGGCATCCCCACTACTCTGGGCCTGGGGTCCCTTAGGAATCCCAACCCTCCCCCAACAGTTGACTAGACCAGCATAGGACTCCTGTCACCCCCCTCCCCTGCCCCACTTTTGGGGCGTGGAAGGCCTCTGCCCCCCTCACCTCCCTGCCCACCCCTCTACCTGGGGGGATGTGGCACTCTGAGTACTTGACCTGGGAGGCAGCTTAACTGAGCCTTAAAGAGAAAACGCTACCTTCTTTTCGTTTGTATTTAACGTATTTGCGCCCGGGCTGCTGGTGGCAGCTGTTCTGTTTTCTGGGGTGGGGGTCTGGGCCTTGTCGGGGGCCCTCCAGGCCCCTGTGACCTCCGGTACAAGCATGGGGATCAGGCGCGATCGTGGGCCCTCCCTCTCTCTTAGGAAAAGCTGCTGTTTCAGGGAGCTTGGCCCCCACACTGGTGGGAGGTATGAGTAGAGCTCAGAGTAATAGGGTGGGTCCTGCCTGTGCAGGACCCACAGGCCCGCTGAGTAGCCCTAGGGCGCTCCCTGGCACATCCTCAGGTCATGATGGCCTGCACTGTCCTCAGAAGACAGAGGAAGGACCTTGGCATGGCCGGGAGAGGGGTCCACACGAACCCCGTCCTCGTCCTCCAGAGCTACTCGAAGCAGTGCGGCAGAACCTTCCAGATGCTTGGGGCCCACAGCACAGATCAGGAGCCCCCTCCCCCTCTTATGTTAATTCATTTTGCACAAAACAACCAAAACTTGTCAAGTGTCTGCTGGTTCCCCAAGGGAGAGGGCGGAGGCGGCAGGACAGTGGCTGGAGCCCGGAGACCCCGCTTTCCTTGTCTCTCCTCCTTCCCTCCCATCCAGGGCCCACTGTCGCCACTGGCCCTCAGACCTCCCTGCCATGCCAGCGTGTCGACCCCGGAACATGTCCCCTCACCCCTAGGACGTATCTATTGTACACACATATAAATACCTGTGTTTTATGTTGATATAGATATATTCTGTAAATAGCATATATACTTGAGCAATATATATGTTAATATATACCGTGTGTGTGGGCACAGGGCCTCCGTCCGCCCTGGGTCGGCTGGACACTCGAGTTTTGAGCCACCATATATTTTTAATTCAAGTATATAGGCAATACGATGAATTGAGAAATAATTGGACCCCCTCACACCTAAACTTTTCAAGGAAAAAACCAGCAGCCCAGGACCCTGACCCGGGAGGTCAAAGGGCCTGTTGTGGGCCAGGTCCTGGTTCCCTGCCCCACCACCCCTCAGGCACCCTTGAAAGCTGGGCCCTGGCTGCCCCCTGAGCCCATCTTCACAGCCCAGCACCTCGGTTTTATTTGTGGGGAGCAGTGGTACAGAGGGAGGAAGACTTGGAATTCCTTTTTGACAAAACAGTCTGCCTTCTGGAATGTTCTCTGAAGATGTAAGTCGAGGGGTGAGTGACTCTTTTTGCACGTGCCATTTCGGGGTGTCCTCAGAAGGCTGGCTGTGTGCTGACGGAGCTCTTGGCTCGACGCCCGCTGAGGAATGCGTGCTTGACTGTGGCTTCTGGATGGGAAGGTGTTTGGCGTGAGGACCCGGCCCCCCAGCTCTGGGTAGGAGCTGGCCCTTTCCTGTCCCCAGGCCCCTTCCTTTACCTGCGTGGAGAGGCTGGCTTTGTTCCTCGTGTGTTCTAAGTAGGATAGTCAATGGCGTCATCCACACAGCTCTCCTGGGGGGCAGCATGCGGTTCCCCGGTGCCCGCACCTCCGCCCCTTCCTCCAGACCCTTGCTGGCTCTTTGCTCACGATGTCAGGGTCTCTCCAGGCTTCAGGCTCCACTTCTTGAGGGAAGTATGTGTTTCTCGGTGGTGGTGAAAGCGGCCTCCGGCAGCTACAAGAGCCTCCATGTCCTCGGGTGCCTGGGGAGCGGGCCAGCGGGGTCCAAGTTTCCGTCTGGCTGGTCGGCATGGGGAGCGGGAAGAACAGAGAGATGGGAGTGTGTGGGTGTGTGCACGTTTGCACCCTGACTGGGCCAGGGATGATGGATTCATATATGGTGGTCCCTGGCTGGGCTGTGTGTGTGTGTGTGTGTGTGTGTGTGAGGCATGTGGTAGGTTTGTGGGTGTGTATGTTTGTGTGTCCTGACTAGGCTGGGGTGACGTGTTTGTGTATCATGGGCCCTGGCTGGGGTAGGGGTAGGGGTGGAGGTTTGTGTTGGGCCCTGGCTGTGCTGTGTTGGGGGGTCCTGACACACGCGGGTGTATTGTGTGCATGTGTGTGGTAACACTTTTTCCTAAGTCTAAGTGTCACTCCACCACTTGTGGCCTAGGCCCGGGAGGGGTGAAAACTAGGGGAGGCTGAGAGTTTGGGAGAGGGGAGCTGTGGCTGCTCTGGCCCCCATTTATAGAAATTGGCTTCTGGGGCGCCCCCAGGACAGGGCCCCTGTTTTGTTCCTCAGTCCCTGCCACAAGGTCTCCAGAACCCCCAGAGGTTGACGGGTCTGACTCAAGAGGCCCTCCCCGTTGGGCAGGGTGACCTCTGCCATCATGCACTGTGAGCAGGCCAGTTCCCAGCGATGGAAGATGCTCTCTGAGGCTTTTTCCTCCAGAGACAAGGCCCCAGGCAGACAGGGAGGGGCCGCCCCACCCCAGGCCCTTGGCCTGGTGTCTCTCCTACCAGCCGTTCTGTACCGAGGTCCCTGAACTTCAGGAGCCCCCAGGCCACTGATTTGAGCTTCAGGTCTGGATACGCCCCCAGCTCGGGGCAGTGACAGGGTGATGGCAGAGCACACAAGCCCCAGAGCAGGGATGTCCATGACACTTCCTGAGTGAAGTGCAGGGCTGGGTGGGAAGGAAACTCCATCTGCCCGGTGGGGGCCAGGTCAGGACACTCTGTTCAGCGCTTGGGACATGGGATCTGCTGGGGCGCAGAGCCTGGCGTGCATGGGGAAGGCTCGCGTGGGAAGACAGGAGGAACTGGCCTGCTCCAGACAGGAGCCTCCTCTTCACAGAGGCTGGCCTGAAGGGAGGGACCGGGGTGTCTGCGCCCCGGGTGTAGTTATCCAGATGCTACTCCAGTTATTTTCTTTCACAAATTCGAGGCACCCACAGACACGTGTCACAGTCCCCCCATGCCTGTGGGAGGAAGCCGAGGGTGAGCATTGCCACCCACCCTCTCCTGCCAGGCCCCTCACCTTGGGAAGGTAACGGTGGGAGCTGCTGGCTGAGGCAGACGTGTCTGCTTAGATCTGAGATTTCTGGTGGTCCCGGGAGGCAGACTGGGACAGCCAGGGGTCTGGTGGCAGTGGAGGGGGCGCTGGGGAAGCAGGGAGTTGTGAGCACATTGTGTGTAAGCATGGACGCGGTAACGTCAGTGTGCCCAGCACGTGTCTGCCCAGCCCAGGTCTGCCCTGCTACTACAAGTCCTCATAACGGTCTTGCCTCCAAGCCATGTATACAAAGGTGATCCTGTGAGTTGGGGGCCTGAACCCAGGGGAAAGAAGGGTCCCTGGGAAAGTTGCACTGATAGGATGGTCCCTCCTCGCGTCTTAAAACCCCTCTCCAGTTGGGGAATCTCTGCACCCCACCCTCACCCCAGGCCTGGCTGTTCCCACTCTTCAGGAATTTGAAAACAGTATTCAGCGAGAATGTGGGGGGTCCTGGGTACTCACCTGTAGGGGGGTCAGCCTGAGGCCATAACTAGCAAGATGGAAGCCCAAGGGGAATTTTTTTAAAAAAACAAACAAAACAGGCCAAATGGGGGGTCCCAGGATAGACCAAGCTCATAGATTTCCTTTCCACTGCCTCAGTTTATGTATTCAGAAAGTGGCCCAGGAAGAGTTGAGCAGGGTTGGTCTGAGAGGGGGCTCACAACAGAGCACCCCCCCACCCTCCTCCTGCTCTATGCCAAAATCATTTCCGTTATCCTGAGTCGGGGTGAGTGGGGAGACCAGGCACTGGGGGGGGGCCTCTGCTTGCCCAGGCTCCCCCGGCAGTGCCCTGCGTCACCAGCAGCAACGCCCACACTAACCCCACGGTCTGGGCGGAGGGGCGAGCTGGTATCCCACCCCTAGGGCCTCCTACTTACTTTTTGTTGAAGAAACACAAACCCCTTGAGATTCATGTACTGTATGATGGAGAGAAGAGAAAAAAAGTACCTAATGTTCCCCCAGACAGACAGTATATTTTGTACTTTGTAAAGTGTTAATTAAAATGAAGACAAAAAAAAACGTGAAGCTGGTGGACAGCTGTGTGGTTTGTGTATCCGAGACCTCTTCATGCTGTGCTCAGGGGGTCGCAGACGGGGACCATTCAGCACGGGGCACGACAAATCGCAGGCTAGCACCCCAAGACAGAGCTGTATTCATTCCCCAGCGCTGTGTAACAAGCCGCCCTGGAACCCTGTGGCTTCCACCTGTGTGCTGGTCCTAGCAGTAGTGACCAGTAGGGACTGCCCGTGAAGCCTGGTGCCACCGGGCGGGCGCTGTGGAGACCCCAGCTGACCTCTCCGGCCTTCCCTCTGCGGCCCCTTCCGCTCCGGTGTTCACGGGGTCGCCATGCCTAAGACACACATCTCCCACCACGGGCCACGCAGGCCTAGGACCTGACGCGTTTTAGTCTCTGCGCACGGGGTCCAGCGGGATGGCAGCTGACAGGGACCCCTATCACCACCCTCCTGGACGGTGGCCAGGGTTGGCTCCAGCCTTGACCCCTGGGCATTGTCCTGTCAGGACACACGTGCCTGAGGGTGTCATCTCTGCACAGCCAATGACTTCAGGAAGGAAAATGAAAATCCTCGAGAGTCACTTGTGAGAAACTCAACCACAGGCCCCTACACTCTCTCCGTGGTCCACCGCGGAACATCTGCCCGGAGTGCCTGCTGCCCCGCCACACCCCTGCCCGCTGTGAGCCCCCCTCATCTCACAGCCAGGACACGGCCCTCTCAGCGGCCATTCTGCTTCCACTGCAGCCTCCCGCCCCCCAGCTCCCTCTGCCTGACCATCTAGAACGTGGTTCCCCGAGGTGGGGGTTCTGGTGGCTTTAGCAGGGAGTTCGCTGCAGACCCAGAGGCCACCCTCTCTGGCTGTTCAAACCCACCAGCTGAACCCAGGGAAAAGAGGGGCAGCCTACTCCTGTGAGACAGTCTGAAACCTGCTGGAGGGTCAGCAGTGAGTCTGGGAGGCAGGATGTCACTGCCTGAGCAGCCCACACGGCACCGAGCCCCTAACAGGCACATGGGACGGGTGCCGAGTGGGTGAGAGGCAGGGCGCTGGGGGGGGGGGCACAAGAACCCGGCCCCTGGCACAAAGGCCAGCTGTTCCCCCAGCGCCACACCACACTCCTGAGTCACTTCCAACGCGGGTGTCACAGCTGAGCTGTGTCCAGAGACCTCACGGCTGATCTTTCTGGAAAAGGAGCACCAGGCCCTCTTCTGAGACGGCCGTGGGTGGGCTCCGACCCCCAGCCTGCGGGTCCCAGCTGAGTCCGTTAGCCGTGGCCCACTGTGACATTGGCTGTTTCCACCTCAGTGTTTTCTCTCATCTGAATGGCAGGATGGAATCCACTCAGAATACTTCTGAACAGGCCTGTTTTATATTATCAAAGGCCTTTCCTTTAAAAAAGTTAATCTGTAAACGATCAAATACAAAAGATCTTTTCAATTAGTAAAAAGAAAAAGGCAGAGAAGCATGTTTTATTCCAAAAGAGATTTGTAAAAGATGTTTTTCAAGAAAGACAAGTTATAAATCAAATGTTTTCTGCAGTTTCTGAATCCTCCTCCTCCCAGGCTTGGCGCTTCAGCCAGACTTTTGAGGGATGTGTTCAAACCCTCAACCCACAAGAATCTGGCCCCAACTATCTTCCCATGGGAGCTCTAGACATTTCCGAGCCTGCCCTGAAAAGGCTGCAGGGCCAGTGAGGGCCGAGGCCACGGGGCCCAGGGTTCCAGCCGGCACAGGGTCCTCACCCCTCGGCAAAGCCCATCCGAGGTGGCATGGGCAGTGTGCTGGTCCACCGTGTCAGGGACAGTCGGCCAGGAACAGTCGGGCAGCAGGGTGGACGTGGTTACACGCTTCAGCCGGCCTGGCCTCAGCTGAGCTGGGTGCGTCCTGCAGAAACCCCGCCGCGCGTCTCCGGAGCCGCCTCAGGACCAGGCGCGGTGCGTGCTGGGGCAGACTTGCTTGCCCTCCCTGCCAGGGTTCTCATCCAGAGCAGCGCTGAGCAGGAGGCAGGGGGTCTCCTCCTCAGCGAGGGGAGGGTCCTCAAGACTCCCTGTCTCCCAGGTTGTGACCCTCACTCCTTAGGAGCTGGGTCACAGTCCCCAAACAGTAGCCGCACTCTGCTGGTCTCGGTGCGCTGTCCCCAAGGCTGCAGAGCCACAGGTCACAAGGGTCTGTCCCTGTCAGCCTCCACTGAGCCACGCAGCGCTGGGGCCAGGCTGGGTGGGCCGTTCAGATGAAGGACCTGGCCAGGGTCACCATGTGATCCACGCCACACGCCACATCCACGGGCTCCCCAGGCATTGTCACCTGCAGAACAAGGGCCAGCAGCATGAGGGGGTGGCCCGCAGCAGGGCACTCAGGCCTCTGGCTCTGAGCAGGGCTGGACACAAGTCCAGTAAGTCGAGCAGACATTAAGGGGCCAGCCCACCCCAGCTCGGCCAATGGCAGCCTTCGCTTGGGGTCCTGGGCAGGAATGGTGTCACTGTCCAGGAATGTCCACCCTGTGAGCCCTCCCTTCTGGACAAGCTGGTACGCCATGACCTCTGCAAGGGGTCACCATCATGACTCCAGACCTTTTCTCCTGTCAACTCCAGCTCCCCACAGGGCCAGGGTGCTCCCAAACTCGAGCAAGGGTGTCTGCACAAGACCCTGCGGGGCCAGCCCACCTGTGCTGACCACCCTCTTACTCAGCCAGCCAGCTCCGGGTCACAGGCTGCTGCATCCCATCAGGTACAGAGGCTCTGGGCTGCTTGCCTTGAAAATGATTCTCGCCTGGCGGGGAGGTTTAGGGTCATGGCTTTATGGGACTTCCCAATTAGCTGCTCCAGCGAGGAGCATTTGGTTCAAAAAGAGGGAATGCACAGTTCCCCTCGGTTCCAGACTTCCCAGAGCTCAAACTATTGCTGTCGTATTTAAACTATAAACCAAAGATAGCCCCTGAAACCTTAAACCCAAACAATAGGTCAGTAAACGCGTGAAAACTGCCTCCCTAGAGCGCTGGACTCTTAAGATCAAACTCCACGGGCTCAGAGTGGCAAGAGCAACTTGAAAGGTTAGAGGCAAACCAGAGGGCAGTGCGTGGGCACCGACCGAGGGACATGACGCCCCTGAAATGCACGCGTGAGAACTGTTCAATCAGTGCATGTTTTGCTAAAAATACAACAGTTCTGCTTTGTTTTTTTTAAAAAGGGGCAAACCCCCCAAAACTCACTATTCCACAGCTTTGCCTGGCAGACTCCAAAAGCTCAAGATTCAGGATCTGTCACCGCTACAGAAGGAGCCAGCTCTCTAGGCCAAGGACACTTGGTTGTGTATTATTTCTTAAAAAGTTGCAATCACATGGTTCTGACAGACATAACACTCAGTGGAAAAGAACAAGGTCTTGAGTATCTCTGGTCCCTGTGAGCTGAAAAACTCAGGGTTAACGTGAAATAGTTGGAGGCTAGAGTCCTCCTTGAGGCACCCAGGAAGAAAGGAGTGGTGGTGACCGACTCTGGAACCAGGCCACTGAAACCCGTCTGGAGCACAGGCTGTCCTGACATGGGTCACTGTGAGTTAGGGGGTGACGTTGACAGCAGCTGGTCCAATACCCAGCCCACTGTCATCTGCCCCATCCCTCTTCCCTCTGAACTGGAAATTACTCATAAATGGTCGTCTTTGCAAAGTCTCCACAGCACACGCCGTGCACTGTGGTTTCTGAGGCAGCTGTCAGGACGGTGTCAGTGTCACTGGTCCTGCTGCAGTGACAGACCCGCCTCTCCCCTCCCCTACAGCAGCACTCGTGCGGTGACAGCTGGCGAGGGCTTTGGGCCTGTGGAGGTTACTGAGTTCATGAGGGGCCCAGGCTGCTGGCGTGGGGCCGGCGCGTGGCCTACACAGCCTGGGACCACACGGTCAGGCTCCGGAGCACAGGGTACACGCACACTGGGGGCCCCGCCAGGCCCTCCTCGCCCTCCCTGAACAGATGTCACAGGAATCACATAGAGAAATCACTAAGCAAACAAGAGCCGATGTCAGCTTATGAGCCAGGCTCCGAGATACACAGGCGTTCCAGGCTGGCTCCAGACGAAGCAGGGACTCAGTGTGCTAGGTGGGGGCTGCGTCCAGAGGGACACTCAGCAACCGCTGGGGACGTCAAGTGCTGCTGGCCTGTCCTGAGCGGGGACTCTCCCCTCTGCCAACAGGCTGCTCCTAGCACCCTGGACCTCACCCCAGACAGCACTGTCTCACAGCCCAAAGCCCAACCAACTGCTGCCCTGGGCCCAAGGCAGGTCAGCCACCAACAGGAGGGCACGGCCCTGGAAGCGCACGTGGCCTGGGGCAGCAGAGGGCTGGCTCAGAGGACGCGAGAAGCTGGGGTCCCCCTCTCCAGGCTGAACTCTACTGTTCTCTCTCTCTCTATATATATGTATCTTTCTCTCTCTCTCCCTCCCTCTCTCCTTCTCCTGAAAGCACAATTTGCACTCAAAGCCTCACTGCAAAGGAAAATTTGTACCAAAAATCAGAATGACAGTTCCCAAGTGCCTGGGAGTGAGACACGGGGGCACAAGCACAGCCTGTCGGGAGCCCAGCAGCCCCACAGGCCCCCTCTGTCGTCACGGGAGCAGGAAAGCCCTCACGTTCAGAGGAAGGGGACACTGTCCCAGCAGAAATGTGGAATCAAAAGTGGAGTCCCGCGGAAGTGGGGCTGCCTACGGTCACTGAGGCGGCCACGGTCACAGGGCCCCGCTCTGAGCATCAGCAGACTGACCCTTGCCTCCAAAGACTGCTGTCTTAGTCCTGAGGAAATAAGGGTGCTGTCCAGAGGAGGAAGCCTGTTCCAGCGCCTGCCATGTCATCACAGACAGCCCGTGGACACCACCTGGGCTGATGTCTCCTGCCCTCAGCAGGACAGACAATACGCGTCGCTGTCGGGGGATCCCCGGTTCTGAAACATGTCTCTGCCGGGGCCCCGTGCTGTCAGGGATCCCAGGTTCTGACACGTGTCTCTGCCGGGGCCCCGTGCTGTCAGGAGAGCCCAGGTTCTGACACGTTACTGCCGGGGCCCCGTGCTGTCAGGGATCCCAGGTTCTGACACGTGTCTCTGCCGGGGCCCCGGGCTGTCAGGAGATCCCAGGTTCTGACACATGTCACTGCCTGGGCCCCGTGCTGTCAGATGAGCCCAGGTTCTGACACATGTCACTGTCGGGGCCCCATGCTGTCAGGAGAGCCCAGGTTCTGACACATGTTACTGCCGGGGCCCTGTGCTGTTGGGTGAGCCCAGGTTCTGAGTCTCAGTAGAACCAGCGGGTATGAGCTCAAACAGGGTTTACTCGTTTTCTTCTCTGCATTACTCTTAAAATGATGTCACAAATTCTTCCACCAAAGAGTCATAAGAAATTGTCAGAGAATAAAATGAAACAAAGAAAGCAACCCCCCCGCCCCCGACCAAAGCAGAATCCAGCTCACTGGCCGCGGACGGCTGCACAATGCCTGGTGGGTCAGTCTGGTTGTCCACCGGCCCTCCCACTGCCCTTCATGGCCCCAAACTGAAGAGTGGGAAGGGGCTGGAGGGTCGGTCCGGTGTCCCTCTCTGTTGTGCCTCTACGTGCGGGTACCCATGTCTCTCTAGCCTGTGGACAGCCCTTGGGCAGCCTCCGGCATGACATCACCAGGGCACCACGGGGCTGTCACACTCAGAGTGCATCATTCTGCCCACCTCTCGCTCAAAAGGCCCCAGAAGTGAGGTGATGCTCCCCCACCAAACTCCTCAGTCCTGCAGCCTGAGCCCCAGACACTGACTGCCCCCAGTAAGATATCTGGGGGGGTGTCATGGTGCAGTGCGCTGGAAGCTGGCATCCTCTAGGCCTCGCCCTGACCCACCCACACCCGGGAAGCCACCAGGGAGTCTGTCCTCAGCACGGCCTTACCCGCCACGGGAAGTACTGGTCCTCCAGACGCCCGATGCCCAGACACCCTCGGATGTTCTTGCCCCACACAAACAGCTCTCCTTTGTCTGCAAGATACAAAAACAGGCTGGTTGGGACTGAGCCAAGAGCAAGTGTCCAAGAGGAGGAGGGTCAAAGAACTGGGGACACAAGGGCCAGCGGTAACCAGGAGGGTCAAAGAACTGGCTTTCTAGAACTAAGGACACAAGGGCCAGGGGTAACCTTCAGCATTGTACCAGGCACCACTGGCATCCTCGGAAGGGAAAGGAAAACGTTATGATGAGCCTCAGACACCAGTGACGTCCAAGGCCAGACTCCACGTGTCCACGAGGGAGACCACACATGCAGGGTCCTGGATCCAGGGGAGCTCCGTGTGCCCACAGCCCGCACCCCTGCCCAAACACCCCTCCTCAAAGGTTGACGGCCGGCATCCTCACTCCCCGGTCACACGCAGGCTTTCTAAGTGGTGAGAAGTAAACCATGTGTCATCCTTGCCAGGGGAGACACACGGTGACCGGCACCTGTGCCAGGCCTGCGTCTGTGAGCAGCTGGGGACAGGACAGTGACTGACAAGGTGGCTCCTGTCCTCAAGGGGCTCCAGCAGGTCAGAGCTAGAAATAAACAAGTGACTAAACAGCTAAATACATCCATACACATGGGACAGGGCACAGCATGGAGAACAGGTGCTACAGGCCCGTCACCCGGGCTCGGGTAGAGATTGGGCTGCAGAAGGCCTACTCTGGGGCATGGCCCGGCCCAGAACAAAGCCCAGTCCCAAAAAACAGCTCCCAGACAAGGCCAAGCCCCCAGAAATGGCCCAGTCCAGGACATGACACAAGGCCCCAAAACAGCACCTGGACACAGCCCAGCTCCCAAAACCAGTGCCTGGACATGGCCCAGTCCAGGACACAGCCTGACCCCCAAGAACAACCCAGTCCCCAGGACCTAGTCCAGTACACTTCATTTCACCTCCTGAGTCTGGCCAAAGGCAGTCTCAGGAAGTGGAAGGGATGACACCCACAGGTCAGGCTAATCATCAAGGCCTCTTATGACAGCTGTTGCAGCCGCTCTGGTGCAGCCTCCCCTCAGACCCCACGTGTTTCAGGGCACAATCCTGCCTGGTACCAGATGTGAGCAGACCTCAGGGTTCACCAGCTTCAATTCCCAGTGGCGCAGGAGAAGCCTGATGTCTGACAGCCTCCGTGAGGGGGACGGTAACCGCCCTCCAGGGCAGCCGTGGGTCACGGGGACATCTGGGCAGGGACTTCTCCACAGAAGCAAGATGAACTATTCTGTTCCTACAAGGATTCACAGCTCAGAAACCCTATGGGAAGGTCTCCTGCCCTGCGGGTCATACGGTCAGAATCAACAGGACGGCAAGAGATGTGTTGGTTTTTGAGGGTTTTTTTAAAACTCTACTAGAATACTCTGATGGATTCCGGAGTCTGTAACTCTGCACACAGTCAAAGCTTCAGAACATTCTGGAAAAGAGATTATCTGTTACTTTCAGAATTAGTCCCTTATGATTCTTCTTTGCTAAATCAAAGTTTTAAGAAATTAACAGGAGCTAGAGGAAGTTTTCCGAGGGATGTGGCTGGCCCAGGCTGCATGGGGGGAAGGATCCCTTGTTTGCCCCTTCGGCACCAACTAACTGGGGGGCCCCCAGCCAGAGGCTGCACACTCGAGGGTCCACGCCTGTGGCCTGAAAAGAGCTGAGCCGGGTTCCAGCTGCCATGAGGCCAGCATCTGCATCTTCACATTAGAACTGGGACCGAAAGGGAGCTCTGGTGGCCTAGTGGCAAGAAGCTGAGATGCAATCCCAAAGGTGTGTGGTTTGAATCCACCAAATGCTCCGCTGGAGAAGGAGTGGCAATCTCCTCCTGTGCCAGTCAGACTACAGTACACAACAAGAAAGAAAAAAAAAAAAAGAACTGGGCCCAAGACATGAACAAGGACAGCTCATGTCCACCGTCCAGACCAGATGTAAAACCAGTTACTAACCCTGGGCCTTAACGAATTTTGAATTGTGAGAAAGTAGCTTACAGACCTGAGAACCCACAAGGACATTAACTGAATCAGGACTGTTTCAGTGGGCACGTGAACCAAGGGGGACCGAGGTGGAACAAGGCACATCAACCGGAAAGCAGTGAGGGGGCGGCTGTGCCTCTGGGGTGTGTCCAGCAAACCCGCCTCAGCCTCCTCTGGGATCACGCTTTCCCTCCTCACGCGGAGACATCGAGGAAGTCGGCCACCACAAACCTCAGGCTGAGCCTGCACCCTGCCCACGTCAGCCCCACTCCGTCAGGTCAGGTTAATCCCCACCTATTCATTTTCTGATTACCCAGTGGGGACTTGGTTTCCTCCAGCACCTCGACAGACTGAGGGGGCCCCTCCTCCTGCCAACGACTGTGTCCTCCTGAGAAAATCGCTTTAACGTCCGCCAAACCACAAACCAAATGAATCAAAAGCAGAAGTCCAGGATGAACAAGCCTCGCCTCCTCCAGCCCCGAGCCAAGACCGCTGGGTGAGCCCGTCTCTGCTCTGACCCGCACACCGCTCGGTAGAAGTGAACTGACCACACAGTCTGGGCATGGAGAGGAGCCCATTCACCGGGTCAGCGGTGGCTGGCGGGCTCAGTCACTTACTGGTGAGGGCAGCGAAGTGGCTGAGTCCACACCACACTCGGGAAACCTGGACCTCGGGGTTGTAGTCCGTCAAGCCGAAGAGGGTGGGTGGGATCATTTCTGGAAGAGCAGTTTCCACTAGGTTTGGTCCTTTCCCAAGAATTCCGTAGCCCCAGACAAAAACATGTCCTTCTCCTGCGTTACAGACAAAACAAGGGTCAGCGTGTCAGCCCAAGCGCAGAGCCCTCACCAGCGAGTCACACTGCCCATCAAGTCCCCATCCACGTGGACTGGTGTGGCAGGAGCACACCAAGATGGCCAGCAGGCCTCTTTCTCCCCTGCCCCTGCCTTAGTCCTCTCTGGGGAACCCTTGGAACGTAACCTCTCCACATCCTGGGGCACCTGGCTGGGACCATCTACCCCATGAACTCAGAAGGGCCTAAGGACAACAACTGGCCCCAGTGACCGCTCTCAGCTTCACACGGCCAGCAGACCAAGCCAAGAACATCAACTCAGGGCCAGATGCTTGAAGCTCTTGGAAATCATTTTTTTGGTTTTGTAGTAAATGAAAACGTATACTATATGGTAGTAAAAAGTGTCAACTCATCAGACATCTAATCCCATTTCACAGATCCTGGGATGAGAACCTGAAGGCCCATCTCTCATCTGCCTTCTACGTCCTGGGGCGGCCTCTCTGGGGTGTCTGGCCCGGGATGAAGGAATTACGGAGCTCCTGCTCTACTCCACAGGTCTGCTACAGAGTGACAAAGCTTCACCCTCTAAAATAAACCCCCACAGTTCTCCACACAGCCACATTCCCTTTGCCACAGCCTGCAAAGCTGCTGGACCCTGACTGTGTCCCTCTCCAAACCACCTCCAGCTTCCCAGAGAACTGCAGGAAGAGGTTCTCACCATTCAACACGGCACAGCTGGTCCCACCGCAGGCGGCCTGCTTCACCTTCCCCACTCCGGAGAAGGGCAGGCACCGGGGGACGTTCACCTGTGGAAAGGAAACCATCCATGTGGTGAGGAAAGCAAACCGGTTAGAACCCCGTGCATTCTGGTCTCCTGGACACAGCAGGTGAGCTCCCGGCCACTCACTCACTCCCTCCCCGAGAGATTCCTGGACGAGGTGCGGGGGCTACAACGGGGAGGAGGGACCTGCCTGCTCAGTGCTGGTCCACGGAGGAGGCAGATGCCACCAAGAAGGGGCACAAAAGCACCTCTGTGCTAATGAAGCAAAGTCCCTGGGTCTCTGAGAGTGTACCCGAGACTTGATCCAGTTTTGGGGTTGCCTGAAACACCTGTGATCTGTGCTCTGAAGGATAAGGGATGAGGAGAACTCAACTAGGCAAGAGGGAAAAGGAAGACTATTCCCAGAGGAAGGCTGGCACCTGGAAAGGAGATGAGCATGGCACATCCCAGGGACATCAGGTCAGAGGGGCCCAGCAGGGAGAAAGGGTGAAGGGGCAGGGTTTAAAATGATGGGAGAAAAACACGTACACAGGCCACAGATGGATCTCGTCTTTGCCCCAAGTGTAGGGGGAGCCAGTGAGCATCTGAGCAGAGAGAAGACGGGATCAGACATGACTGGGTCAGACAGACATACGACATCGGAGAAGGACCAGGCTGAAAGAATGGACACTGGTTCACTCGTGGACAAAATGAACTAGTCAGTCCCGGAGACAGTCGAGCAGAAAACGTCAAGTGGTACTCAGAACCGTGCGGGCCCGAGGCCCCTGCCAGCTGGAGAGCGTGGTGAAATGAGCTCCTTCACGGGGACTCTGACTTGGGTTCTGTCCGAGAGGAAAAGGAAGCAGCCTGGGAGGCCTCTCCTGACCCTGAGCAGCGAGTGACCCTTGTTACCACTGCCCTAGTCCTCCAGACAGGCTCTGCCTTTTACCCAGAGAAGCCAGTCCCTGGCAGCAGAAAACGTCAGTTATGCAAACAGAGGAGGCGATCACATGCGGATTGGCTGGTTCAGATCAGAGGTAAATGGTCCTTTACTATGCAAACAGGGTGCATGTCCCAGGAGGACTGAGCCACTTGCCTATGTAAGCACCTATCCCAGGGGTTGAGGGGACCCTCCCCCACCATCAGAAGCCTGGGGCGGAGGGGTCCCTGTGCTGAAGTGACAGAGTTATAGCCCTGGAGTGGTGGCAGCAGAACCCAGGACATCAGAGTGAGATGCTACGGTGGCTTCATGGCCCTCGAAGCAAGGGAGTTATAGTGGGTTTGCTGACCCTAGACAGAGTAAGACCCTGGAGTCAGGACCTTTAGGAAGGAACCTGGCTGGCAGAAGAGGCTGCTTCTGGGCACCTGTCAGCACCGCCTATGCAGCTTCCTCCTGGCCTTCAGCTGACACTTACTGGTAGGTAGGAGACCTGCAGGCACTTCCTGGAGTTGAAAAAGCTGGACACTTGGGCAAGTGTGTGGCTGGGACTGAGCAGGGGTCGAGAAACAGCAGCCAAAAGAATGCTATTGAAGAACTGCCTGAGTTGCTTCCGAGTTAATCTTGACCCCATGTTCCCTCTAAAAATCATACAACTGAGTATACGCTCTGTGAGTTGTGTGTGACCAGTGCAATGAGCTGTGGAACACAGCAGAGAAGGAGCTGGTCATGGTGAGGGCAGCTGGAGTCAGAACCACATGAAAACGCTGAGAATGGCGGTGTGTCCGCTGTCCCTCTCACAGAATGAGCTGTGTGCTGCTGCCCACGTTCATTCTTTCTAGAGTCAGAGGAGGTCGGCACTACTGCTCCCTCAGAGCCCTGAGCAGAGAGTGACTGAAGCCCGGGCTGTGAAGACGCTCTTCTTAAAGAAGAAAAATACCCAAACCTGCAGGACCTTCAATGGTCAAAGACCGCACAGTGGCTGAGAAGGGAAGACGAGAGACGGAGAGAGAGGGGGGACTCCAGGAACGGAGGTTTAAGGTGGGAGACACAAAGGGGGTGCAGAGACTGATGGGGGAGAAATCTCTGCAGATAGAACGAGGCTGGGGAAAAGGTGGAGGCAGACGTACGGTGGCGCCAGGCACAGAGAAGAGACCCTGCCCCAACAGGGAGAGAGATGCCGCCTTCACTGTGACGGAGAGCATGGCCAGGTGGACAGACACAGGTCGGCATGCAGGACATGTGCGGGGAAAGGCGTGTGTCCAGCTGAGAGTCTCTTCTCTCAACTAAGCTCCCACTTCGGCGGCAAGTGAGCGCATGTGTGTGAGCTGCACCTAATGACCTGCCTTGGATGAACAGAACAGTGATGGGATGTCACTCTGGGCTTCTCACTTTCTCACTCTGATGAAGCCGCCAGCCGCCACACCGTGAGCTGCCCACGGAGAGGCTGACGGGGGAAGAGACCAACAAAAGACGAGCCAGTGAGGGACTAAGGCCGCAGGCCCACCGGTCCCTGAGGAACAGACTCGCCCTCTCACGGACACGCTCAGACAATGGTCCATCCCAGCTCGACTTGGGTCTGGAGCCTCTGAGAGATCCGTAGGCAGAGGACCACAGTAAACTGACTCAGAAACCAGGAGACAGTCTGTGGATGCTGCTGTAAGCCCCCACGTTTTGGCATCACTCATAATGCAGCTAACAGGTACCAATGACAGGACACTGGGTTTGTCCCCCGCAGGAAGAACACAGGCGGGCGTGCTCGCTGGCCTTGTTGTTTATCTTAATAGTTACAATGAGTAATTTAAATGATCATGCTTTCTTCTTTGTTTTGGCTGCTAGGGAGCTCAGAGTCAAATCTGCAAGCATTTTTAGCAACTATACCAGAAGGAGTGGCATCCACTTCCGTAATAGCTTGCCTCCGGAAACCCTATGAACCTGGAGAAAGGATGAAAGTCACACAAGTGTTGAGGACTTTTGTTCATAGGGTCGCTATGACTCGCCTACGATTCGACGGCACTTAACGACAATATACCAGAATATAAAGAAAGAATGCCTCTTTTCATCATCTTACCTGATCAGTTTCTCCCTGCTCAGCTGGCTTTATTAATGTATTTTCTAAAGCCCTCAGTGTCTTGTCAGAAGTCTGATTACATAAAGGAATATGGTATGGGTTTTCCATAGTCCTTATCTTTCAGAGATTATTTGCAGAAAATTTTAATGAATGAAATATATTCAGCCAGTGGAATGAGTAAAATACGCCGGAGGAATGAGTAATCTCTCTCTAGGAAGGAGAGGATGGACAGATGTGTCAGCCTCTCCAGAAACCCTCAGAGCCTCCTGCGCTCAGGCTCCCTCTCTGGTGGGTGCAGCCCCTCATACATGCAGACAGACAAACACAGTCTGGCTTTAGACAAACTGGGGCCCAGAGAACCAACAAGAGGTCTGGCTCTGACTGCAGAGTGTTACATGGTAATAAACGGCCTACTTCTCTGTTAGGAAAGAAAAAGAAAAAAAAATCCAAACCAGAAAAATAGACAGAAGTAAAAATGACAGAGAACTGGCCACTAGGGGTATGCAGGTGTCGTGGGGTTTGGGCAGGGCTGCCGATGAAAATGTTCTAGACAATCACTTAGACAGTGGTGGTGACAGCACAATTTTGTGACTATAACTGAAAAGCCCTGGGCTGTGTGCTTTAACAAGGTGATTTTATGGAATGTGAACTATGCTGTGATTTTTAAAACAGGCCGTTAGGTGTGAAGTGTTGAAGCTGGGTGATGAGTTCACAAGGAATCATGACATAATTCCCTCTACCTTTCGATTTGAGATTTTTCATCACACAGTGTTCACAGCCCCACTGTGCCGACTACGGTTCCCTTGGTGAGGCAGCGGATGAGGCCAGCGCCTCTGAGGGGCTCTCGGTTACTGCCTGACCTGGCCCGGCTGCACATGTCGCTCCATCGAGCCACCTACGTGTTATACTGCATTGAAGAGGCCACCAGCACATCGGAGACGCTGCTGTAAACAGCCTGGGATCCCTCGGGCACAAGACGGGGCACACAGGCACACGTAAGGAGTTAACTCATCGAAGTACCAATGGAGATGCCTTCTGCACCTACGCTCGCTTGCTAAGCTCCAGGGAGACCACGAAGCCCTTGGTGAAGGGCGAAGCAGCCCTCTACAGCGCTCCCTGAGGAAGAGCTTACCGGGGTGTCCCTGACACCTGCTACCCCCGAGTCCCCATCCCCACGACGCAGGGCACCAGTACCTGTGTGGAATCCGTGACCGAGGCCAGCTGCAGGTACTCCGAGTTCCCCCAGCCGAAAACATCGCCCTCTGCAGACACGGCCAGGCAGCAGTCCCCGTAAGTGGCCACCTGCACGATGTGCACGCCGGCGAGGTCTCCACCCAGCTTGGTGGGCACGCTGCTCATGTTGTAGTGACCCAGACCTAACACGCGGGGGGGACTAGGAATTACTTCAGCAAGCACCGGCTGAAGCACTTTAGAAACATCAGCTCAGAAGTCAGACCCATTTCTCTTCATGTTCACAACTGCCTCCCTGTCCTCTCAAAGGGGGACAGACACACCCGTCCGTAACTGGTGTCTTTTTTAAAATGTCTGTAATTCCAGATCTGATTCCGGTTAGCTAACTCTGCCAAAAAAAGCATCTCTGCACAATAAACCTTTTAGATCCTCCTATGACAGCGAATAATTAATGTTTTTATTCTTAAAACATTTTATTGGATGAATAAAAACAAGAATCACAGGGATGAAATGGGGAAAGTGCTGTTACAATATGAGAGGACTGTATTCAATGTCATAAAATGTGTACGACTAGTTGACAGCAGGTGATTTTTAATGCACTGCTGTACGTGTCAGAAAACAGACAACCTCTCTAAAAACTAACTCCAACCTGCCACCCCACCGCACCCCAGCCCTGACAAACAAAACGGGCCTGGGGAGGAGCGTGGGGCACAGGCAGCCCACCCTGAGGGCAGATGTCAGCATCAGCAGTGCCCTGCAGGTCTCTCTCTGCCAGCAGGGAGGGACCGAGACTGAACCTTAGACTCCCGCCTTGAGCCAGCTTCCCCTGGGAGCATCAAGAAGGCAGCACCCCTCACTCAGCACCCCAAAATCCAGATCCTACAGGAGAACACTGCCACATTAGGGCTCTCAAGGGTCCCGCAGATTAAAAGTTCAGAAAAAATATGAGCTCATAATCAAAAGTTACCTGACACACAAGTAAAAATGTTACCTTGAGTGTCACTCCACAGAATAAAAAAAACAACTGAATTATACTCTCAAGACTTTATAGACCCTCAACTGTGAGAAACACCATTTAAAACAATAAAACCCACAACCTGCTGAATGCAAAACAACAGCAGGAGTAACCGGCTATTCAGATGACCAGACAATCAGAAATTAAAATTACAGCTGAAAACTCATATGGACAAAAAGATCAGCTACAAACTGGGAAATAAAGACACATATAATGCTACAATTGATAGAAGATACTTGTACAGGTTCCCAAAACTTAGTAAAAAGGAGACAAATAAGTAACATAAAAAACAAAGACACCATATATATTTTAGAAGAAAAACAAGACCAACGAACAAACATATAAAAAGATGGCCAAGCTTTTGTAGTTTAGAGAAATACATATTTAAAACATGATGAAAGACTCAAATGTCTTTGCTCCAGAAAAATATAAAATACAGAAAGACTCCATAACTAAGGATGGTGAAGCTGGTCCCTCACCTGTCCCCCTTAATCACTCTTCTCATATCAGTTATGAGGGTCCTCTGTGCTGAGAAGCTCCTCTGTGGTGTTACTGCTTTATTTCTGTGGGATCTGGGGTGAGCAACCTGAGGGCGCTAACAGCCAGCTTAAGACAGGCGATGTCCAGCCCATGAGAGACCCACGGCTCAGAGTCCCACACTGCCTGAGCCAAGACCTCACCAAAGGGGTCAAAGACCCTACCTGTTTGGCCATCAGCACCCCAGCCACACGAATAGACTTCTCCTTTCTCTGTCAGGAACAGACTGTGATCCTGGCCACAGGCCACCTGTCAGAAGTGACAAGAAATACTCAGAAGCCCAGTGGTCAGCACCGTCCACACGGCTTCCCCAGCACCTGGCCTGGCGTCCCTCCCCCTCTTATGCTTCCCTGGACCACCGCAACCTGGCTCTCATCACCCACCTGCTGACAAGGGCTCTTGCTTTAAGTGTCCAATGTCCCATGGACTCCTTCCAAGAGCCCCTCCACCATGGGAGAATGGAGCCTTCATCCACCACGCTCCTGTCCACCCTTCCAGCAGCTTCCCATTCCTGTCACCCTCCGCCACACCCCTTCAGTGCCAGGGGTCCTCTCCGAGGTTCTGTCTCCACTCTCCTCTCCTCATTTTCCCTTCCCTGCCTGGGTGGGCACTCCCCCTAGCCAGGGCGTCAGCTGTCACCTCTGCCCAGCCCACACTCACGAAAGGCAGCTTACGGAATATTCGCCATGCCTAGTGCAGGGCTAGCGGGCCGGCAGCGCCACCCTGGAGAAAGGGACTCTGAGAAGTCTGGTAACAGGCCCCCTCGGCAACTGAGTCCATCCATAGGATGTGGGTGTCTTATTCAGCACACCCCAAAGCAAGTGCACCCACCGGCTCCGCCTCACCTCTCCCTACCCCTCACCGAGCCTGCCTCCCTCAGTCTCCCCGTCTTGGCTAACATCCACCCATGTGCCTACCACAGTCACCCTGGAACCTTCCAGCTCACTCCCTGCCCACTTATCAACTCCAAGTCCAGTCGGTTCTCCCAACATCTTTCCTATCTGCCTCTTCTCCCCAGGACTCCCCACCAGCCTCTCCCTACTGTACCCCACGTCCCAGCCAATATTCTCTGACTGTGCCATATCTGGCTGTCACCTGCCCTTCTCTGAGCTCCTGATGGCAAGGATGAACTCAAACTCCTTCCCGCTGCACATCAAACTTCCACATCATTCACCCTCACCTACCTCCCACCACCCTGCTCAGACACACCAGACCCCTACCCGCTGCACTGGATTCCCTGCTCACACCGCTTCCTCCTCTCCGCCTGTCCTTCCCGCAGGACTGCCCACCCTTTCACTACCTCCCCACTTGGCAGCCTTACCACATGCCCTCTGGGTGCTCCTATAGCGCCTTCTGTATACGGTCATTTATGGACTCAGATATGTTCTCCTGGTATCTACTATGTGCCAGCCACGGCCCCCACACGAGAATGAGGCAGGGAAGAGGAGAGGCTGGCCTGCTGGCCTGGAGTGGACAGGGGCACACTGTGACACGGACAATAATTCTCTCCCCATCCTATCAGTCCCCTGCAAGGTCTGAATCACCCTGAGATCCCTGGTAGCTGATAGAAATAAATCTTGCCCTATTCTAAGTGAGCGAGAATTCTCAATAAAATAATTCACTCATTCAAAAAGTCCCCCTAAAAAAAAGGCCCCCTCACAAGTCTGCCTCACCCCATGGGGCTTTCAGCCTCTCAAGACACCCGAGGAAGGCAACTGAGGGCTTTCAGAGCATCTCGTACCTGGACCACCTGTCCCTCGAAGTCCTGCATTCTGTGGATTTTGTGACTTCCACTAAGGCAATTTGAGAGACACAGGGAACATAAGAGTAAGAACTGGGTCAGCCTGGCCACCTGGCTCCCACCCTGTCCCCCAACCCCCAGCTTATTCCTATGGCCACACAGTTACTATCAGGGAAACGCTCAGATCAGATACTAACCAGAAAATATGCTCAGATCATTTTTAATTGCACTGTGGCAGCACTGTGGTGAAGGCACCAGGCTGCTAACCAGAAGAGCAGCAGTTCTAAGCCACCAGCCGCTCCTGGGGATGAAGACGTGGCTGTCCACACACAGACCCACAGCCTCAGGAGGGCGGTGGGCGGTTCACACTGTCCTACACGGTCCCTGCGAGTCAGAGTCCGCCCCGCACAGAGGGCTGTGCGTGAACTGTAACATGCAGTCAGAGCTGAGAATGGCGTTTAGACCCGCCAGGAAAAGGAATCAGAAAGGATTTTTATAAAAAGACTAAGATTAGAAGAATTTAAATGAGATGGTTTTAAAGTTACTAAAAAAGTAAAAAGCCATTTTAAAGCCCATTAATGCAGAAAAGCTCTAAGCATCACAACCAATGCTCATTCACGCTCCCGTCACCCCAAGCACATGGATGACAATCAACAGGAAAATAAAATAACTGCTCCAAACTGTTTCACACAGCACTGCTCAGCCCGACAGGGAAAGGCCGCCCGCCCGGAACTCACCTGTAAACTTCATCTTCAACCACCTTTCTTCCACACTGCCCGTAAGAATTGTTCCCCATGCTGAAGACTAAAGACAGCAGTGTCAGGTCAGATCTGCAAGCTCAGAAGACCCCACAATGCTGAGACTGGGGGTGTCATGACCACTGCTCAGCTTCTGTCCCCGGCACTCGCCCCTGTGCCACATGCACCGACGCACCGGTGTACACCTCGGGGACCAGCTGTCCTGACTCTGCCTTCTGCTCTAGTCTCACCCCAGGTGGGCCCCCACTGGCAGGCTGGCACCTCCTGTTCCTGGGGGTCCTCACACCAGGTCCCCTTTGGAAGAGCCTTTCTACCACATTCACTGAGAAAATCAAAGTTTTCCATTTCCTCAAGTTGGCCTTTCCCTGAAAGCAACCTCCCTTTTTGGAGGGACCACATCCCCAGGAAGCCCCACATCACTTGGAGAGATGTTAGTCAATGGGTTTCCTGCAGCTGCAGACGGCAAGCACAGGCGAGAGCTAGAGCCCAGCTCAGGACGCACGGCCAGAGAGTGGACAGGGACTTCCTGCGGTGGTCGTCACTGCCCGCGACCGTCTAGGGCGCTGACAGCTCTCCCAGGTAGCCCTTGTGATGGACTCAGAAACGCCCAGAGATCCAAGCACACAAACCTCCTTCGCTGTCCGTCAGGATGAGGGAGTGTGCGCGGCCGCAGGACACCTGCTGCACTGTGGTCTCCTGAGGCCGCTCCAGAGGCAGCGGGATGGGCGAGGGCTCCAGGACGTACTCGTACCCGCGACCTGCAAACACACAGCAACGTTCCTGCTTCTCGAGTCTCAGCAGGCCGACTCCGAGGGCAGTTCTGAGACACACACTGACCGACCCCGCAGGAAGAAGACAGAGCTGGAGATGGAAAGACTGGCCCGAGTTCTGAGAGGACCGGCAGGGCTGGACAAGAGCACCCCCGTGTCCCCGACACCCAGGCCAGCGCCCCACGCTGCCTCCCTGACACCAAGGAAGTGATTAGTAGACTCTGTCATATTAAAGAATCTCTCCATATGCACTTACTACTATTTGACTTTTTAAAGAAAGTAGAAACCTTTCCTCCTGCAATACCCACTCAAGTCCGCTCCGGAGGGAGAACAGCACAAACGTGGCACATACATCAATAGGAGATAAACTCCACACGGTACTATGTCGGAACCCACTGAGACGACCAGCTAGCACCACTGCCCTCCTGCAATAAGCAGGGTCACTGAATGGTATGTGCGGAGACCTGAATCTGGGGAACATGCTCAACCACAAGGGAAACTATCTGTAAATAAAATAAAGGCAACCCTGGCTCTAGATCCCAGCCCCAACTTACAGGAAACACAGAGGACAGAGGCAATGTTCAATGGCGCCACAGACTACAAAACTGTACAGGAGAAATACTGAGATTTCATCAACAAATAAATTTCAAGGAAAAATGGTTCCCACAGACTTTGCTAAATATTTCCAGAAGTGCTAATAGTATTACGGTTATCTTCTTTTTAAGGGCATTTATTATTTTTTTTAGAGATATGTGCCAGAATATTACTTAAGTACATGCTATAAGAAAATTTTACCCAGAGGCACACGGTTCAAATCCACCAGATGTTCTGCCGGGGAAGGAGGGACAATCTCCTCCTGTACCAGTCAGATCTGATTTGACGGTACACTCACACAAAAATAATAAAATTTTTAAAAAATAATAAAAAAAATTTTATACATTTTCATTTGAATAAGAAAAAATGAAAAAGGTGTGAGTAATTCCCGCTGATGTAGCAATAAAGCATCATTGTTTTTACATCTGACTAAAGTCTAATTTTGTAAATGTCATTATACGTTATTTTTACCATCCAAACATTAGGCGTTCAGAATAATGGCTCCATCCTAACGTGTCCACAGAGACCGTCTCCTGTGCAGTGTCACATCCTAAGCCTTTCAGGTTGCTCTTAAGGCAGGAAATGAGCCCTGGCTGCAAGGACTGGATTGTTAACCAAAGAGTGGGCGGATCTAGCAGCCACTCTGCAGGAAGGACCCAGGCAGCCTCACGGCCCCCGCGGAGGGTCACAGTCCTGGGACCTGGACCATGGCAGTGAGCTTGGTGTTGGTCTGGCCAAGACAGGAAGGAAACAAAGGAACATGTGAGGTCAGAGAGCATGTCATCAACGAGGAGAAGCCAGGACCTTGCCCTGTGTCTGAAGGCCCAATGTCATTACTGAAGGTGACACAAATCATACGTTCCAGAGGGGTCTGAACAACGTGCCCTTAGACTCTGTCTGTTTTGCTCTTCTGGTTTATAGAACCATGTGCCCCTTGCAGCGGAGTGCAGCCCACGGGGAACACTTACCTTTATTTTTCCGGCTCTGGTGAAATCCGAGCTGAGAATCCTTGTTGAGCCCCATGCCCCAGACTTTCGTAATATCCTTGGTTTTGGAGGACAGCAAGGTGAAGCCATAGCCGCAGGCAGCCGAGGAAATCTGAAAGGGGTCCCAGAGAGGATCAGCTGATTTGTATTATCAATTTTTTCCCATCAAATGACAAGTTCTTTATCAAATCCAAGACCACATGCTGCTGAAATAACAACTAAAGTTTATCAAGCACATTCTGTGATGTCTGTTTTATTTCATTTAATCTTTGTAAGCACTGTTTAAGTAGCGTTATTACCAACTCCATTGACCAGGAACACAGTAGGAGCAGTCGGGGTCCCAAACTGCTAGAGTCTGAGCCTTGACCATCATGGCTCTCCCCCTTACCACCTGGGGGCTGGGGGTGATTAGGCACCTCCTCTGGGTCTGTTCCCCTTCTGTAAAATGGGATTATTAATAATCCCATATAATAATTGCTCTCACAGGGTTGTTATAAGGACTTAAGAAGTTAACACAGCTAAAGCCTTTAAAGTAAACAGAAAGTGTCTACAAATAATTGTTTTATTCTTCTAGTTCACGGAGGATTTAATTAAATGCCTTCCTATGACATTTAAAAAAAAGTAAACAGAAAGTAACTTAAGAGTAATATACATTAAACATGATCATTTGTTACTATTGCTATTTGAGAAATAAGAAAAGCTACACATTAACAATGTATACTGCATTGAAACAGATGAGGGAGAAAACTTAAAAAGGATATATGATTAGGTACTATTGTCATGACAGGGGTCACGAGAGAAGGCTGCATAGTGCAGTGGACTTGGGGGAGGGATGTATAACTGTGAAAGAATTTTTCTTTTAATTTTCAAAGAGAAGAATGAACTGGGGGGGAAAGGTGGACAGGGAGAAAAACGCAACAATGAATGAATGGAAATCCAAAGTGTGTGTAAATTTTCATCAAAATTAATAATTTTTAACAAACACCCAAACAATGTCAAGTCCAATGTGAGGTGTTTTACCCACACTGTCAGCAGTCCTCACCTTTACTGAACACCAGATAAGACACTGAGGACTTGGGTGGGGCTGCCTCGCTTGATTCACCCTCCCACCCACAGTGACCATGTTCCCAGTCAGTCACAGACAGTCTTGATTTACAGGCGAAGTCCTAACGTTCCAAAGTCTCTGCTTTACACAATAAATCCCAGGGTCAACCTAACAAGCGCCCACTATCTGTCAGTTTTTACAGAAAATGCGAAAGCAAACATCAGTCTAAACTAGTGCTGCAGAAAATGCAACGCACTAGTGATACCAAGTACGATTCTTTTAACATTATTATTATTATTATTATTATTATTATTATTATTATTATTATTATTCAAGCGTTTCTTGACGAAAGCAGAGGATCTTTCTGAAACCCAACTTGCTGAAATCTTGCTTAGATAAGCTATCCAAAAGTGGTATTTCTCCCTTCAGGCTATGAGGGGTTTGTCCCTCACAAACATCTATGAATTCTGTGTCAGCCAAAACCCCACGCTTCCAGAATGGCTCCAGCTCCACACCAGCAACTGACCAGGGAGCTGGAGGCCACGTGACCCACCAGTAAACCCAGGACGTCCCGTCCGGCCATAGTCACAAGGAAAAACAAAGGATCCAGGGCAGACTGAACACAGTTTCTCTAATGAACAGAAAAGGAGGGGAGGGGAAAGTCCTGGTTTCAAACTTTGTGACCGTGTGAGGTACAATTCCTGGTCTCTTCCTGTCCAGAATCAAGAAGAGTGAAGAAAAGCAGAGACACAGCGAAGCAAGATGCCAACAGGACACATGAATCACCAGTGCCCAGCCCCATGCTGAATGATCTGAAAGGGATCACAGCAGAGGGTCCTGGGGTAGAGGGGGGAAAATGTGGAATAAAATTCTAACTAATAAAAAAGGCCGGACTTACTGATCCAACAGAATCTAACAGAGCCACCTTCAACCTTGGAGCTGGCCTCATCCCCAGGGTCCAGCTCTCATACACAGCTCCACTGGGTCCCCACCACCACCAGAGAGGTATCCACTTAGATCAAAAAGGCAGCACTGCCCAGGGAAGAAGCTTAGCAGGCAGGAAGGGGTAGGGCAGAGACAGAGGAATGAAACCCACAAACACAGGAACAGAGTGGAAGAGCGCTGTTACAAGAACACCGCAATCAAAGTCGCAAAACAAAATGCCTATCAACTGCTGAAAGGAAACCAAATTTGCTCTGTAAACTTTCACTCTGATCACAGCAAAACAATTAAAAAAAATGAAAAAAGACCAGAGGTGTGCAGTTCGAATCCA